TAATCCAGGTCCCACAACAAGCGAGGGTAGCAACAGTGACTAGACCTGTTTCTTTTTCCATGCAGAGCACCATTTGTTTTAGGTGAATTGCAACGGCCTATGCTATTTAAAGTGTTCGGTATCTAGGGCCCTTTGATAATTTATTCGATACCCAATAGATAATAGGAGAAGACCGTTCAATACTAACTTTATAGCCTGTTTAGACGAAGTGACGTAATATGGAACTGTTGATGGTTCCAACTATACCTTTATTTAACCACACTGGTGTAGGTGTTCGGAGCACGAAAACCTAAGTTCCTAGAGCCACTGGCCAATATAACTAATGGCTCCACAGATGCAGTTGAATTGATAGATGCAATAAGAGGTGGCTAGTGTAGTTACTTCGTTTTTCACTTTCGGAATCACAACTAAATTTGAAAATCTTTCGTCTGACTATTATTATCATTATTACCTAGCACTTATATATTTATTTCATTCCCTATTTAGGCTGTATTAGCAAGACATCGTTTAAAGGCTTATTTACATGCGGCAGATGTAAACACTGTCACAGAACAGTGTACGTTAACGCCTACAGAAGACCATCGTAGTCAATTTTGTTTATTTGCCATACTTGAAGCAAGTCATTGGTTCGCTGCTGGATGTATTCAATCTGCAGATGAAGTTTTATCAAAGTATATATTACCACAGTTGATTGTCAATACAAATATATCACCTTATTCAGCTTTCTTGTCAAGATTTGAATCAGTGTATTCTGCATTAGGTCGTCGAATTGCTCAATTGCTTGAACCATATAATTCTTTAACAGAAAATTGTCTACCTGCAGATTTTCATTTAGGTGAGTATCTGAATATATATTTCACTGAAGGTACTTTACTCTTTTTCAAATAGCAGAGTTATAATATTTAAACTACGACACCACTTCTGCCTGGGAAATGATAAAGTTGGGCGTCTGGTGGTGAAGTGGACAAAATCGTGTAAGAAGCAAGTGCGAAATCGTGGAACCATTTGGAGAATACTGCAGAGAACAGGATGAAGTGCATATGTACTGTTGAATTACTATGTACCACTCAGAACCCCAAGGAATAACAATGACAATAACATATGTTTCAGCTAGAGGTGCTCGTTTACCATTTCTGTATTATTTATACAAACAATCTTTCTAAAGCTACTCCCTAAATGTTTCATATTTTATATACAGAATACATTTTTTCTCGCATATGAGTGTCATCATTTCAAGGTGTAATAGAAATATGACACCCAGAACAGATCCTCCATGCACCAAGATATAAGCAACATATTGTATTGCACCAAGGTTTGATGATACTGCCTGCTTACTCAGGCTAAGTTAAAGGGGAGTGAGCATCTAAAAGATTACAAAGAGTAAATGCATCTGTGCTATTGAGAATTGTTTTGAGCAATATCCCCAACAGTCTACAGCCAATTGGATCTAGGAATCTCAGTGACCCCCAATCAGTCAGTCTGCACCTCCTAACATGACTACCTCAAAATAATTGTCAAGGCCTTCATAGATTGATGCCAGGTTTTCGGTTTGACCATTCCTGACTCTTTTCCAACCCTAAATCTCTGTTAGCTAACATTGTTCGTCTAGGAAAACCGTGACTCGGCATGCGTAACACTAGTCCTAGTCATCTCAATCAAAACCATATAATAATCTATTTGTTTCTTATCCTTTTAAGAAGAAAGCTAATGTGCTCCATACATTTGTGAATAAACTCGCATCATTTTTACTGGTTACCCTTTTTGTTCTTTGTTTTTGTCTAAAAAAGGTGTTGGTGTTTATCGATCATTTGGAGAACTACTCTGTCTTGTAGATAAACTTACACATTTCTGTAAACTTTCATCAATAGACAGTGTATATAGCCCTTGTAGAAAGCGGATAAAAGAAGATACTACTGACTTGAATCATCTAGATCAATTGGCATCAATTCTGTCACAATTGAAATCTAAAGTTGCCAGTGTAACAGAAGAGATCAATGTTATGAAGACTACAACATTTCTTGAAAAGTAGGCGTATTTAAATATATATTCATATGTTTTAATATGTACAGACAATGTAGTTATGTGAAAGTTATAGTGATAATTCTATTTTTGCATTTTAACTATTGATGTCTGTTAGCTATAAAAACAATTACATTGGTAAGACTAAAAGTAAAGTGACCAGCAGAATGACGTTAAACAAACGATTCGATGCGCTTCATTGTACAAATATCGACTGTTTGGATAATAGGTTTATGGGAAGGACCAATCATCCGACGTGTTTTGGTAGACGGACCAACTATCCACATGGACAAATATTCTCATCCGGCTGTATTCTTCACAACACTCTGTATATCATTCTTCCGATTTTGTTTATCTGTTGGATAGCGCGCACACCGATTCCATAGGACGATTCTTGACGCATTTGGAGAACAAGATTCAAGTGATAATTGAGTCACGAAACGGCATGAAACACAGTTATCTCAGTGGATTCATGCACTAACGCTAAGAACCCTAGTAACGAACTGTTGGGACACTTCTAAAGCATATAAGAGATCCTATATTACTTTGTCCTACTTATTCTGTTCTCTATAACATTTTTTATCCAAATAACTCCTTGATCGCATGGGTCACTATACTTTTTTCTAGCCATTACATGAGTTGATAGATATGTATTTGTCATCAAATGGTTTGATGATTATATCAAAAATCGAGAAAATACTTCACTGTTTTCCAGATGTTTAGAATCTTTTTTTATCAAGTGTGTTGATTTACAGGGATTTGATTGGTTATAGACTTAGTTAGAGAACCACTGGAAATCCAGGAACAGTCGTCTCTTCCCAGGTTTGGACTCATCGTCAGTACGCATACACCGGGATTCGAACCGTACTGGGTAGTAGGGGCTTCAAGTTTTGGAATTTTAGTAGTGCTTGGGTTATTCTTACGAGGTGGGGTTGCTAGCCTCACACCCAACCTTCCCTCTGTTATAGGCTTACTACTGACTGGGCCAGGTTCGGTCGGGAACCAAACCTGGACCACGTGCGTGATTGGTGGGAATTATACGCGTGAACAACCGGAGCACGACACATGTTTATAAATAAATAGGTAGTTAAAATGTTTGCTTGCGTTTCCGACTGTGGTACCTATCATCATCCTGCTTATTCGAATAAAAGGAAAAAGTGTATCACCGCTGGTGAATAATGGGGTCAGTGGCCATTCTTTAAAAAATGAGTAAAAGAAAAATTTTATTACTATGCGATTTGTATTAATATTTATCATATTGGAAATACTTTCATACACTAGATTTTCACAAGTGGCGTAAATGCTGCTGTGGCTTTTGAAACAATAGTTTGAGGGTTCAATTCAAAATGGGGACACCATCACCTATTACTGGAGTAGAGTTTGGGTACATCCTAATGACGAGCCCCAAACAGGACGAAACGTACATTTCAGAGTCCACTGCCGGTTATCATGCACCAATTGACCTTCCGCTAAGTATAGATGTAATCTATTAATCGCGTGGCCTACTTACTTGTCTACACTCATTAGTCTTTGAAAAATCTAACGTTTATAATGCTTAGATTGAGTGGTTTCAATATAGAAGGAATGCGATGGCTAGGCACGCGTAACACATGTCCTAGCCATCTCAATCGATTCAGCCTCATCGATTGATCTTCCCTCCTCACCTAACACTCTACACTTAACCTCTATTATTCACCCTATTATGCCACCTAACATGGGAGACGGAATGCAGAATCGGAGACAGCTAGTTATTTCATGCCTTCTACTTTCAGTGGCCATGTCTCACAGTCATAAAGGAGGACGGAGCGACCTTCTGAGTAGTACACACGTCATTTCATCGATATCCAGATAGTATGTCTACGCCAGAGATGACGTAAGTCGGCAAATGCCACATGAGCCTTTTGTATCCGTGCTGAGATTTCGTCAGTGATCAAACCGTTGGCTGATGCAACTTCCCGAAATAAGTGAAGTGGTCAACGCACTCTACCACTTCACAGCCTGTCTTCAAGCTAGGAGTCGATGTAGTCCATTCCTGTAGCATCATCCTCCATTTGTTAGGATCAAATCATATGCTAAACATACGAAGATTGTTGCTCAAGGTGTTCAGAAGTGTATGCATTTTATCAGCGCCTTCACCTAGGAGGGAGGACTGTATCAGCCGCATATTCTAAGTCAACAAGATTATTCCCTGATGACAAGTTTATTCCTGAGTCACTGAGGTCAGTTAGGTGTTAATTCCATTAGTACTTCTATGATGAGAGAGAAAAGACAGTGGGCATCCCTGATGGACACCACTGGTATAATGCGTAGAACGTTTCGGATAATTCTAGGTTTGTGTGTCTTTCTCTTGCTATTATTAATACTTAAATATTTCTAATATTTTTAGGGTTGTACGCACTGAAATGGCTGCCGTGTGCATACATTTAACATCAGCTTTCCTTGCAGCAAGTTGTTTAGAAGATACAGCAACAACAACGGGTGAAGATGAAGACGCAGAAGACAATATGCAGACAGATGAGCAACAAGTCAGTAACCGAGAACAAATCACAGTAGCTTATTTAGAAAATCAACTGATCTCTATGACTAAATTAGGTCTACCTGCAGACTATCGATTAAAAGAATTGCGTGCAGTTGCAGAAGTGAAATTATCCTTGAGTATGGTGTAATTAATAGTATGTATGTATGGTGTAAAAATAATCCCCTTTTAAAAAAACACCTCTCTCTCTCTCTCTCCTAAACGACAATTTCTTTCTTCTAGCTATCCATGTATATGTATGTATATTCTTTCTCTCCTTCACTGTTTTTTATAATGATATAAAAATAATTAATTTCAAGAGAAGAGATTAAAACTTTTATTGAAAAAAAAGAAAGTATATTTTTTAAAAATTGTGGTCGTTGCTGATTCGATGTGGTTATCATTAAAGTTACTACTTCAAATGCAGACAGAGAGTAGTGAATTATGCAAGACAGAAATTTCTTTTTCACTTGTCCACCTCTTCTGTTGAATCATCTGACTTTTGATTGTCTTCTTTTGTTTGTTGAAGTAATTCAAGGACATGTTGCACAGGTCGTACACGTCCATCTTCACCTATGGTTCCAGGTTGAATTAATCCGGATCTTTAAAAAAAAGACGGATTCAGTATTAGTATTAGTCGTTGAATCGCAATACTTAGACAAGCAAATACGTCTTTGTTCAGTCTTTACAATTAACATAATAAAATACTAATCATAGACATTTGAAACCGACACGTGGTTAATAAAACTAAAGTTCAGGTGTATGAATCTAGGCAGTCATAAAGATAATAAATTCATGCAAGTGTTTATATAATCTAGGTTTTCAGAAATTCTGAATGTGTTGCCGGTATGGGTAGAGGCGAAAGTAATTATTGTCTCATAACAGTTAGATAATACAGTGTTTGGTTTTATAATAAATTGTTAAACTAAGATTAAAGTTTAATAGTGTGAAATATTCCCATATCATGAATTAAAACTCAATCTGAACGAAGAATATTCTTTTCAATAATTTCTCTCCAGGTTCTTACAATTATAAAATGTAATATTTGTTGTCGTTACAATAATGGCCAGTTAGGCCAGTGGATATATTTTTTAACGTAGAATAACAGGTCAGTAGTGGGGTGTATTTGTGTGTCAAACGTCGTGCTAGGCTGAAATCGATTACAAAATATTGTGAAACGCGAGACAATGGTGGTGATTATTCATAATAAATTCGTAGAGTGTGGGGTAGGAAAAATTGACAAGTCAGTTCAAGCTTATAAAAGGTGTCAGGTGAGTGGCTGGACATCGCATCGACGCCAGCATAGGCTTCAGAGTAATATACCGAAGTCATTATCACGTACAGTTCGCTTACGCCTCCTACGCATAGCTGTTGTTGCAATAAAATCGACCAATTCAGAACTTTGTATCCAAAGAAAAAACACGTGGCCAAGCTTGGACTAATGATTCTTCTTCTCACCAAGAGTGTTTCTTCCCCCTAACCCTCTTGGTTTTTTCTTTGCTTACTATTATAATTATTATTATTCGTCATAATTTATGCCCTTCATTCAAACATTCTCTTAATACTATCGAATTTTCTATTTATACTACCCGGACTAGCAGGTGCACCTTTTACATTCAGATGACTGCTGGTGTTGTTACTTAGGAGCTTGACGACCTCGTCATATACAGTCATACTCAAAGTGATCATGTAGAACATATAGATGCCGTTTTAAGGCGCATTGAAGAGTTTGAATTGCGCATTACCAAAACAAAATCTCAGATAGCCAAACGAAGTGTCACGCTGCTGGTGAGTTAAAACCGCTACCTGAGGAAATCTTGACAAAAAAGACCGTTATGCACCCCCTCCCAATTCCAAGAGAAAACTAAGACTGTTCTTGGCAAGAACAGCGTTTTACAGTCGGTTTATGAAAAAGTCCAACGAGATAGCAGCTCCACTGTGGAGACTACTGAGTGAGCCCAAGTTTGGTTGGTCGGAAGACATTCGACTGCATTAAACAGCTTTTAAACTAACAGCAAATGATGCTAAAGCTACCTTCACACGGAAAACTGTCCACGATGTGCACATACGTGGATATCCGTTTTGATATAACGAGCTCTCTCCACTTTCTTTATTTTATTACTCAAAGTGTCGAGTGTAAGGATTATTCTAGCTCGACACATATCAGTATGCTGATAAGATTTTCGTTTGCATGCAAAAGTTAAGATTAGCAGCTCACATTTTACTAACTAAATGTTTGTTAAGATGTAAAACATCTAATGCACAACATACCTCTCAAGTTTATCAATCTTTTGTACTAAATCCATAGCTAGATATTCTTTTTGTTCATCAGACATATTCTCTATAGGATTTGATTTTGGAATTTCCCATCGTCCTGTTACAGGATTGACATCATCTTTCAAGCTTTTATACTCTTCTGTTTCAGATTCAGTAGATGTCTCAGAATATTCAACATCTGATAGGGCATTCGAATTCGAGTTTCTGTTAACTTTTGACGGTTTCCCGAGTAGTGCGTGACGTGCTAAGAAACCGGCGAAATTTCCGAAACCAGTGTATTTCACAGCTCTTCCAACTGAAAACAAAGTGATAGTTAATTACGATAAAATTAGATTAGGATATATATTAGAATATTTCAAACTGAAACTTTAAAGCTCAAGATTCAAGATGTATTTCTCACTCGGAACTCAAAGGATGAAAATAAAATCAGGCCAGCATTACTTGCATATACATGCTACTGTGATCCATTATTGATCTAGACGCTTGACTTCCAACTAAAAAGTCAGTGGTTCGAACCCCACACCACTTACCTTGGTTTGGGCAGCCAGATGGTATCATTAACCCTCACATATTGCCGACAGTATATGCAAGTGGTTGTTGAATAACTGACCTAACTCACTGTGATATTAAAATGTGAAGACAAAAGATGTAAATTTTATTCTAAATGGGTAACAGGATATTACGTAGCCATTATAAACTTGTACCACAGGGCGTAAGCAACACGGAACTCTGACAATGAACCAACCAAGGGTCTACAGCCCAACAAATACGCTGAAGTAAACGGAGATGGATTAGACATACTGTGATTGACACCGTACCAGCCTGAATGTTGGGTGTAGGTCCGAGGGTGACGTGGAGGAGATGAACGCTTGTAGGCAATTATGGAGCCAACTAAAGAGGACTGCAGTGAACAGAGAAAAGTACTGATTTGCCGTTAAAGCCCCTGCGTTCCACTAGGAACCCGAGGGAATGATAATAATAATTATTATTATTATAGAAACTAATTGGATATTTTGTGTCTGTATCGAAATTTCCCTGAAGTAACAGTAGTTTAATGGATAAGAAACACAACGTATTTTGTTTGGAACGTTATTCAGCACATAACATTCTTTTTAGTAGCTTAACAATTTTTGTTTCCAATACTAAGAAACCTGAATGAGTAAGGCAGCAAAGCGCGTTTGTGTGTACCAGTCCTAAGAGACACGTATTTTTTATGGTATGACTACTAATACTATTTAACCGCCTCAATAAACAGGCGTAATACTGGTGTTCGGACCATGTAACTCATCGGTTGAAAATTAACTATGCAAAACAGTCAGCTACGGCCTTTCAATCCGTGTAAGCGTTTCCCCCCGAATGATATTCTCCAACTAACTGGTGCGTTATAATTATGGCACTCTTTTTGTTCAACACTTCTAGTAATGAGTATTCCAATTTAAAGATGTCTGCAGACTAACGAGATTAAATCGAAATCAGTCCATCTTATCCTATAAATTTTATTACTGGCTTTCCTTTCATCGATATTTCCAAATGCATATGAAGTATATCGATGGTTCGTTGGTAGAATGTTCGCCAGTCAGTTATGAAGGAGGGCCAGTTTTGACTCCACGCCGACGCACTCCTAAACCCCGCCTAGCTCTTAGTAAGTCCCGAAAAGAGGGAAATCCGGGGGTGTGAGGCTAGCTACTGGAACTTTACAGCTAGAAGACCTATGTTTCACTTAGAACACAAAGGAACGTAAAGATACAATTAAATAAGCAAATCGTATTTATTTATTCATTAAAACACAAACTTGGTGCATTGTGGACACAAAGTGATGCAACACACAAAACCGCGCAGTTTGTGTGAGGTCTGGGAAATACTGCCTGAACACCCAGACCGACACAGGTGGTTGTCTCAAGGAGTCACCCACGGAGCCTTTGACTTAAGGTCTAATCCACAAGGCAGTCGAACAATATCAGCAGTCACGTTCCCATATTCGCCGACAAGCAAACTTAGTTCATACTCCATTTGATCGGTTCGAATTCTGGAACCAATGTACACCCCCCTCCCCGCAATAGGTTTGGAATCAGGGCTTTCCAGCTCTTCTAGGTGAACCAGCATGTCCATCAGTTCAGTTGTCAGCGCCAGATATCCGCATTTGTCTTTTAACTTTTATGAGGAACACTCCTGTCACGTGACCGCATGAAAGCATTTCGACAGGAAGACAGAGGTCTAGTCTACCCACCCACAGGTAGTACTATGACCTATATGGGGGCGAACCGTATAGGAAAAGTTAAATAAATAAAAATATTAGCTAAGGTATTCACCAAAATACTTACTATTCTCTTTACACAGTACAAAGATGAATAAGGCAGCTGATTCACCAACAATTTGAACTGGATGCGTAAGTAATTTACAAAGGCTGAAAGATAAACATTTACAAAACATTTGTTTTGTCAAATTCACTTGAGGGAATTTTATTAATTGTAAACCAACTGTACACAAATGTAACACTCATTTAAATTTCAATTCTTGAGAAAAATAAAATTGATAATAAGCTAACCAAGTTGTTTAACAATGAACATTTAACATACCTTTCCGTAAACAATTAACAAGTGACCACTATATGTATTTATAATTGTATAAAAGAAGACGAGCAGAAAGGTTATTTCAATAGTGAAATGCTAAAGCAAATTATATTTTGAAGTGGTCAGATATAAAGAAATTTTGGCAGCCGGGGAATGTTTTTTTTTAAGGGATTGATCTAATTTTTGCTGCAGCCAAACTTGAATTTTCAACTTTTAATTATCGACTCTCTTACGTTACAACTATTCCGTCAAAGAAAAACAATCTCGAATAGCCATACGATAATAACAGTAGTAGTAGTGTGGCGTGTGCTACTGATAAGATTTATCCGCAGTAAATAAAGAGACGTTCATCGACATCAAACAGAGCAAATGATTCAGCGTTGCAGCAAAACATGAGACACGAAAAGACAAAGAAACACAACACGAAGGGCAGAAGTAGCACGACACAGAAGATCTGTTACAGGTTTTTCATCATGAGCTGACATTAGTTAGAGAACCATTGGAAAATCTGGGAGTACTGGACAGCTGTTTCGTCCTAGTTTGGGACTCTTCATCAGTACGCACCCACCGGGATTCGAACCATTTGCACAGAAGATCTCCTGTCTCCTACCGTTACAGTGATAGTATTCCCGATAACAGTCTCTTAAAGAATTTGTTCACCTGCAAAGAGTAGTCTTTCTCGTGTGTTGCTGTGCAAGGATTTTATGGACTTGAAGTTTGGTCATGGGTTGATATCATTCAGAAAAGCACTGAAAACCAGGAAGTACCGGACAGCTATTTTGTCCTAGTTTGGAGCCCCTCAGCAGTACCTACCCATGACCCCACCGCTAGGGATCAAACCCCAACACCCCCAAGTTACAAGGTGATCTCATCGATCATTATTGAACCACCGGGATAGAATCCCATGGCCCATCCATTTTAATTTCTGCCAAATAGCGGTTTATGACGCGACCGAAAGCTAATGTCATCGGTGACTATTTTGTCCTTACATCCAAATTGGTGGATCCACTAGCGAGGATTTCTCACTAGAATTGCAGGCAAGTTAATCCTGTAGTCAGTGACGAGTGAGCACTAGATTGTCAAGGTTGCTTGGCGCTAAAGAGTCCTAAATAAGGACGAAACACCCAACTAATGTTTCCTAGTTTTAATGGTTTCTACATGAAGTCGGTTCATGACTAAACCTGAAATGTCACCAATTTTCTCAGCTTTACTTATTCAACTTGATATAATTTGTTCAAAAATGTTTTATCATCCTCTAACAGCTGGTAGTTAACGTGAAAACCATACACAATACTTCTTCCGTTTAAGACTAATAGATATATATGTACATCGTTTTAAAACTTACTGGTTCCTGATACTATCACCATCTTCAGGCAAACGTGTTACGTCTTTCCCCAGGTAAGGTAGTACCTAAAAGAAAACATTAAATTAGTACAGTTTTATTTAAACTAACAGATTTTTTTCAAAACACTTTGCGGAAATTACTGCCAGTTAGTATATTATCATCCCTTCCTTGCTTTTCGAGTAGAACATGGGATCTCAGCAGTACGCCTTCATTTCACTTGGTTGTTTGCTATCATTTTCGGCTGGCTCCACGACGACCCACAAGCTTTCATTTCCTCCCTGCATGACTTTCTCCATGTTACTCTGTGATCCCATTCGGGTTCGACTAGAAAGCCTAGTGTGTGATGTCAATAAATGTTGAGTAAGCAATTATTGAGAACAAAATTTGAAATCATGTAAATTAATGAGTGTGAGCCAAAGAAAAAATTAATTTCAGAATAAAAACTACTTATCTACTAGTCGTTTTACAGTAGTATCTATAAAATATTTTAAACTTTAACTCACTTTTAAACGACAAAATTTCCTAATCTGCTGATTTGATTTACACGCTCGTGTAAGACAATTCAAAATGGGGCATATTCTTTCATCAGTTCGTAGATCGTCAGTAGCTTCAGAAACTTTGTTAGCATCCTAAGAAGGCATTAAAAGAAGAACTGTTTTCCCCTCCTTTATAACTAAATAAACGACTTTATATATTGTACACAAAAATTAAATACTTCATGAATATAGAGATATGGCTTATTGGCTTAAACACTTATTTTTTTCAGCCGATGAATCATGGATTCGAGTCCCTCCCCACCTACTTCAAACGGACGACAACTGGGTAGTATTATCAGCCTTCATATAATAAGTATACTTACTTTACTTTACTTCAGCTATCTCCTACGGGAGGATGAGCCGGCTTCATGAATTCATGAAGTTTCATGGGAATTTGGTATGAGTGATGTCCCCAGAATCGCTCGGCCTTTTGATTGAGAGTGCAGCTCTAGCCTTTACACAACCAAGTGTGACCTACAAGGCAGTAGGAGTGGAGTAGGGAGTCCACTATCCATTGGCAGCCGGTGACCGGAGTTCGGTTCATACGCCTTTTTGAATGGGGCCAGACATCCAGGACATCCAACACACGTCTGCCGGTGAGCTCCAGTGAGCTTCGTACGCCAGTCGTTGGAGGTTTGGAATCAGGGTTTAGCCATCTCCCCTAGACTGTCATTCAATAGACAGTCAACCCGGTGAAGAGCGCCGGGCATCCGCTTTCGCCCTCTAACTTTGGTGAAAAACACCTCCGCCACGTGAAGGCAATGAGTAGGACTTCCTCAGGAGAGGCTATGTAAGACGCCCGGTCATATGGGAGCATTTCAAGAGGTGTGCGGAGGGATGGCCAACAAGCAGCGCAAGGCACCCACGCCCGACCATCCTGAGGCTTTGGAGGCCTAAAAGTATACCCCTTAACTTACTACATGGAAAATCCGTTCCGGTTAAATAAGCTTCAACATACACCCTGTTATTATTTTGTTGATTACAACTTGATTCCACACCATATTTTTTGGTACAGGTATGGAATTTTCAGCATGTGATATCGGTAGCCCAAATTTTGCAGGCCGACCATAGATATCAGGTGTGTGTCGACATGGGATCGAACCCCGGACCATGTGCATGATCGACGAGAGTCATAACCGCTGTGCCACCGACGCACTGCTAGTAGCGCGCAATTAGGTAAGTAAGGATGAAAATCTAAAAACAAATTACACATACTATTTGGTTAAAATCAGTTGAGTGATAAACAAAATCACTACAGAAACGCATTAGCAACAATACTATACACTACATTGAGGGGACAAACATCCATAGCTGCTGAGTTTTAACAAAGAACTTTGCACAGAAGTGCAATAGTTCAACTTGCTACACCCCATGTAGGTAGAGAAAAAAGATTCAAAAAACTTAAAATAAGTAGAAGAGTGAGGGAGAAAGAATAGTAATAGAGGATTTGGGAGATCACAAAGAGTGAATCCATCTGTACCATTGATAATTTCGAGCCACATCACCAAAAGTCTCCAGCCATTAGTTCTCATTATCTCGTGTACCGCAATCAGTTGGTGTACACGTCCTTATGTGGTCGGCTTAAACCAACAGTCAAAGACTTCATGGATTGATATCGGGTTCCAATTTGACCACCCTTAACCATTTTCCAATTTAATCTTATATCAGCTAAAATCACCCGTCGAGGAAGGTGGTCACTCGGAATGTGCAACACATGTCCTAGCCATCTCAATTGACGTAGCTTCACAACTTCATAAGTTGACTTCTCACCCAGCACTACGCCGAACTTCAATAAGCTGCTGACCTACGTGACTTTAGTTTTTCTTTTAGGGAGGAGTTTGTTGGATAATTCTCTTACTGCATTTAAGTAAAGATAAACCTGAGTTACTGAATTTTCAACATGGAACTTTGCACAACAGTGAAGCAGTTTTAGTTCTTACATTTCATAAAAGTAGAGTGAAAAAAAACTATAATATACGAAAGGAAGAATAACTACATAGATAATAATGAGAATTTAATGCATCTGGGCGTCGGTGGTTGTGTGACAGAAAGCTAGTCAACCATGCATGTGGTTCAGGTTCGACTCCCTCCTGAGGCAATCCTAAATCTCACTTAGTCAGTAGTAAAAGCCCGATAAAGCCTTTCCACCCCGTAAAAAAACGGCGCTACTCAAACTTCAAAGATCAATCTTGACGTCTTATATTCTATTTAGAACACAAAGGATTGAAAAAAAAAATCTGGTTGATCGAAAACAGTGAGTGTATCTGACTCACTGAGTGACTGTTTTTAGCAAGATCTGCATAAATTTAAAATAGACAGTCTACAATGAGACATAAGTCGAAAGGTAAAAATGTGTTCCATTCATTTCTTTGCATTCCGAGTGGAACATAGGGCACCATCAAGCTCTTAGGCTTTGAAGTTTCATTAGCGACGATATTGTTTTTACGGAGTGGGAACGCTAGCTCCATGTCCAACCTCCCCTCTTTTCACGGCTTACTGTCAGCTATTAAACTAACTAAGCGAGGTTTTGGAATACGTCGGCAGTCGAGAATCAATCTCAGACTACTTGCATGGTTGGAAAGGATCCTACCAGTGAACCAAAGACGACTAATTTGTTCATAAAGTAGTTAAAAGTAATAAACATACTTAAACTAAATACCAGGAAGACTTATGTAAGGCTACTGAATTACATATTCTTTGAACAGCAGACTATTGGTAAGATGAAAAACTGACCGAAGACTTTTTTATTTCCAACTCTGAATACATAAACGGGTGTACATATTCAATTGAATTAATTGATAAGAAATAGAAAGATAAAGTTAGCACATTAACCCAATTTTTATAGACACATAAAGAGATTTAAATCAAATAGTCTAGGTTTATGTTGAATCTTACACTCAGTTCAAGCCCAAATGAGTACGCAAAGTAATAAGCTACTTACGACAAAGAAATATAAAATATTTTCAAAAAAATGGACTCACCAGTTTAAGCTGACAATGAAGAAAGTTTACAAGAATTTCAATGCAATCCATCTCATTCGTTTCACTAACTGAAAGTGAATGTTCTGAAGACTTGTCATTACAATGTTCATCAGCAACCTTATCGCACAGAAGATATTTATAAGAAACTTTCGGTATAATGTTTAACACGTTGACAATTTGACTGAAAGGGTGGAAAATCACACAGAACAATAAAAACTAATCACATACAATTGTTAATAACTAATTACAATGGTAGAACTAACTAACTGAGTTTCAACATAGAACTTTTCAGAATTGCAGCAGTTCAAGTTGCCACACTCTACATAGTATACAGAAGTAGGGAAAAAGAAAACAGAGATTCAGTAGAAATTTAATGAACAGAAATGTGCAAGATAAGGAACAGCAGCACGAAAACATGAGGATTTAATGGATCTGGGAGATTACGAAGACTGAATGTATCTGCGCGATACACAACCGTTTCGAGTCATATCACTAATAGTCTCCAGCTATCGGTTTTACAAGTCTCTATAATCCTAAGCACGTAGTCTGTACTATCGAAGACTTCATTTACTGATGTCAGGCTTTGGTTTGACCACCCCTAAAAAATTTTCAATCCAACTCTATTTGACAGCTGGATTCACTTCTAATCCGACCCACACAACGGTAAGAATCGTCGCATTTATGAACGAATAGAATGAAAGGTAAATTAATTTACATTTCAATGAATAGTCCTTTGAACCTGGAAAGTGTTCGAAAATTCGAAGGTGAAGATAAATGAAGATATATCTGTGCCGTTGTAATCCAGAGAGATAGTCAGTACTATTATTCTTTAGCTGATGTTAGACATAATATGATTATTTATCTCACAAAAAAAGATTCGAAACAAACTGAGTCACAAGCTAATTACAACTATAAAAATATTATTAAAATCACCATTAAAACCTTTTGTCCCACTAAAAATAATGGCGTCAGTTATCCAACACGTGAATACAAATGCACATTTTAAAGTGTAGTGACTTACCTGATTAACACATGATTGTCGAAATTATCCTTCTCTGAATCTTTTAAAAGGTGTTTGAGTAAGATGACAAGATTTTGGATATCATCACCTAACTAGGAGGTATAAAGTAAGTAAATATTTCGAGACCTTTGTCATATCGTTGTCATCCCTCACTGAATACAGTATATTGTAAATTGTTTTAAGAGCTTCTGCAACAATAAGTGAATCTGAAATGTCCGACCTCTTCATTTGTAGGACTTTTAAAAGTAGTTGTAAAGCTTCGAAGTCGATTAGCTCCTGTCTGGAAATACTATGAGATTGTCAGTGTTTGAAGTACCTTGAAGAGTGATCTAAAGCGGTGACCAGGAAAGCGAGCTTCAAACATAGAAGAAGTTGTTCTTTTTCCGAACACTGCTCAAGAGCTTTCATACCTTCAACTATCTTCTTTACAACACCCAATTCCCTGAAGTGTAACAACAGATTAAGACAACCAACTTCAGTCGACTAATAACATATGTTTCTTTGAATATAATGTTAGACAGTGACTTCAGTGCCTCTATGTTTATCCGAGAACACTGTGAACATGCTCCATAAGGAAAAGCATACTTGAGGAGTTGAGATAAAAAGAAGTCAGATGTCAACTCCTTACGGGAGATTTCATCGCGTGTCAGTATCCGGATGCAGGACAGACAAATATATAAGTCAGAGGAGCTATCACTTTCTAAAACTCTACGACATCGTTCCAAAATTATCTGAAATCATCGATAAAATGACTGTCATTTACCTCCTTCGTCTTCATTTCCACATTTTCAAGTGAAAAACTGGAGTCATTCTTCAAAAGAAATAGTAAAACATCCACAAATAGTCCTACCTCTGAAACAAACTTCTCCAAAACTGCGTCATCAACACACATTTTGAAATCTCGCGCAACTACCAGCTGATTGGTGTCCAAATCAAATAGTGCTCGTTTTATTTATTTAATGGTGTACATGATGTAAAAATTATTCGAGTTCAGCTTTGTCACACAGAAATAGCGGATAGAGTTTTTGGCGAATTTAAAGTTAGTGACGGTGAAAAGAGCTCTTTATTGGGGAAATACACACTGGGTCTTACACTGATGCTAAAATCAGATATAACAATGAAGATTAGTCAGAATACCAGTCTCCCTCTATATATACAGGCTTCAGTGGTCCGGAATAGGTGAAGGTGGGTTTACGGCTGGATTAAGCTGCTTTCTGAATGCGTCGTTCACTCAGTGCCGATATTAACTATTTAGGTCAACTTGTACAGCTGAAGATAAGCTGTCAAGCAGCACTCTCCATCTGACAGATTACCTTATTACGTTCGGTTGTTGTGTGCCCACTCTATTGTACAAGTTCTGTTCTTACATCAGCGAACTGATCATTTTTCACAGACCAAAAGAACTCTTACCCTCTCAACTCAGTATCAGAGAGATGTGAACTCGGAGAATCACGGAATCTGGACAGCATTTCATAACATGCCTCAGGTATCAGCCATGCGTCTGGGGCAAATAACAGTGTCGCAGACACTTTATCATCCATCTTCTCTTCCAACCATATTAACGGCACAAACTTTGTGAAGCCGGCCCATATTCGAAAGGAAGGTAGCGAGTTTCAAGTCACCTGGGCCACCACTATTACCATCATTAGTCTTTTTGACTAGTGTAGTATACATAGGAAAGGGAGACGCTGGAATCTCACCTTCGTAGCTTACTGAAGGTAACAAGTATTGTTATTTGATTATTGCCTCAGGTTCTAGGTGGAATGTGGGGCTTTAACTGTGCATTGGTGCACTGTGCGTTGGTGGCACAGTGGTTAGGACTCTCGCCGATCATGTACATGGTCTGGGGTTCGATCCCCTGCCGACGCACACCTGATATCTATGGTCGGCCCGCAAAATTTGGGCTACCGATACCACGTGCTGAAAATTCCATACCTGTACCATAAATACGGTGTGGAATCAAGCTGTAATAAAAAAAATCATTTTCATTTCACTCTGTTCTCTGCAATCCTCTTTGGCTGCTCCATGATTGCCCATAAGCTTTCATTTCATCACATAATCTCCTCCATTTCATCCTCGGACTGCCAACTTGCCATTTTCCACTTAGGTTCACTTCAGGCGATTGCCTTGAGTGTGACGTCACTCAGTAGCCACACCAGAGTGTATCCAGTCTATCTCCATTTTCTTCGAAATATATACTAGACAACAGGTTCTTGGCTGCTTCGTTCCCAGAGTTCCCTGTTGCTAGTTCCTTCTGTCCACTTGACATCCACTGTGAACCGAAGGCAGCTGGTGATGAAAATCTTCAGATGGGTGTTGAAAATGCTTTTCGTGACGCGCAAAGTTCCTAACCCATAAAGTAGAAATGAATGACTTCACCTTGGTTTTGAAAGTCCGGATTCGTTTCACTATGCAGATGGCAGAAGATTTCTTAACTGATTTCAGAGGGATGAATGTCCGTTTGGCACTTCTCGTCCACTTCTTGTCATCCTCATCTATGCTTCCAGTAGGCGAAACGACGATTCCCAAATAGGTGAAGGAACTGACTTCTCTCAAATTTCTCTCACTAGTAGCTGCTTGTTACTTTTACCATCGTCGTACTTGTATTTGAGTATCCTAATCACTTCTGTTTATTTTATGTTTGGAAGACGGAGATTATATGAAAAATGTGGTGTGTTTGCGCTATACATTTCGAACAGTCCGATCACACATTTACTTGTCAAGTCGACATATATGAAAAGGTTAAATTAAACAAAGTGGCAGAAAGAGATTTAAGAATGATTAACACAACGTTTGGTAATCCAATTAAATAAGGATTACCGAGGTAGGTTAAGAGTAATAATAAACTGTTTTGAATACACAGGGGTCCCTTAGTTTATGAATAGCTTTGGCCTCAGCGTATTTCAATAAGCGCCCTTGACCGTTTTTATAGATGACCCTAAAGGCTGAGCTAACACCAGTCTTATGGTTCATCTATAAATAAATAAATAAATTTATTCTCATAGTACAGTACATGAGGGACGCCAGTTTACAGGCATCATCAAATTGTTACAGAAATAGAACCATATAGTTCAATCACAATTTACAGGCAGTAGCAAGATATGCTTTACATGTTCGCTGGAGATTATACATACACTTGATAAATGTTAATCCCAGTAGTATAAAACAGTCTTTTCACTTATATACAATCATTTCTGTGCAAAGTTGGAAAAATCTGCTAGATTGTCAGTGAGTGCAACACAACAGGAAATACAGGAGTATTGCCTTCGCATTAACAAAAAAACCAGGTCTTTGGTGGATGGATTATAAGTGCCTGGGAAAAGAAATAAAGCTTGAAGTAAATATTCATACATAACTTTGTTGTGTGCAGAGTCCTCGAATTATAGTTCATTGATGTGTTATGTTGAAATCAGTGATGTGTTTATCTCATTTGATCTGCAATGTCATTGTTGGGAGTAAATACATAAGCTTCAGACGCATTAATTGATGGATTTCTACTGCTTGTGGGTATTTTCTTAGCGTGAGGAAGGTTTATGAAATTCAGCTATTCCGACAGGAGTTGAGAATATTAACTGCTCAGCAACATTATGGATATAAGTTCATCACATTATCTAAGGAAAGGTGGGTTGCAGTTGGTGAGGGATATATGGTGCCCAACGAGCGTTCATCTGTCCATGTGATGTTGTGGTGAGTTATACCTTTTTCATGTTGTCGGTTTATGTCCATTTTATTCCACTTATTGTGTTGGGTAGTAGTTTTACAAACGAGATTTCTTGTCTGTTTGAGGGTACGTATCTTAACCGTTAATGTTTTATCTAGAATTATAAATATAGGCAAAAAACAACAGGTGTAGTATTTAAGCTTATACATTAAATGGACCTATAATTTCGGGGGCTCTCAGATAGGAACTAGAACTACTATCGTTTGCTAACCCTTGTAGTTTGTCATTAAGCACCTTTTTGAAGGAGGCAAATGTACTTGCTTGACGCATTTCCATTGGTAGTTTATTCCATATCTGTGCATACCTAATCAAGTAAAACTTTTGCCTGGTGGCTGTTTTACATTGTTCGATAGCTACTGTACCCTTAGTGTGCCTTAGTTTGTAGCCATTGTCATCTGAAAGTCGAGTGCCATTAGTAGAGGTAAAAACTAAGTGGTTTAGAAGCTTATATAAAGTGTCAAGTTTAGTCTCAGGCGTCTTAGCCATAGTGTTTCTAGTCCTAGGGTATCACATCTAGTGGAGTAGTTCGTACCATTTTCAGTTCCGAGTAATTTTAACGTGAAGTACCTCTGCACTCCCTTGACTTTCAATTTGTCCCCTATGCGTATGCTACTATACATGAATGAACAGTAATCAAATAAAGGACGCACACAAACCTTGTACAACAGAATTCTAGACTCATTTCTGTAGAAGTTCCTGAGTAGAAAGCCGATAAATCTGCGTGACTTTGACACTTGTTTGGAGATATGTTCAGAAAATGATAAGTTATGTGAATATTTCAGTCCTAGGTCCAGTACAGATTCCAGTCGTTGAAGTGCATGGCCTTGAATTGTCAGGTCAAGTTCTAAATTGTTGCAACCTATGCAGAGCCAGCCACATTTTTCGACATTAAATTGGAGTTGCCAGGTGTCACACCATCTATCCATTTTTTCTAATTCTTGCTGTATGGCGTTTACTGTTATTCCAAGATCTGTGTTCTTGCATTTATACGTCACTTTTAAGTCATCTGCATATAGTATTGGTTTACCTACACTAAAGCATTCACAGATACTGTTTATATATATTATGAATAAGAGTGGGCCTAATACACTTCCCTGGATTACACCACTACTTACTGGTTTAGGCCTTGAGATTATCGAGCCAACTTTCGTTGTCCGACTTCGGCCACAGAGAAATGATTTTATCCAGCTCAGGAGAGGATCACATATCCCTAGTGAGCATAACCTGCTGACTAGCAGATTATGGGGAACTCTGTCGAAGGCCTTTGTTATATCGAAATATAGTACAATTACTAGTTCTCTGTTGTCCCTACTTCGTGTAACTTCATTGAAAAAGTCTATGTGACAGGTCACACATGATCTCTTTTTCAGAAATCCGTGTTGTGATGGATTGATAAGTTTGTAGTGTACATTGTACCTTTGAACTTTTGTTTGAATGAATGCAACCTGACATGTTGAACTTCACTTCCACTTCCGCATTGTATTCCTGAACCTCCTGTACGGTTTCGGGTTCGCTCTCTCGCTGTGCTTTCACCTAGCGCACTCTCTGAGCTTACCGCCGTCTCATCTGCAGATAAGTGTGTACCTCTTATTTCTTATCAAATTCCATATCTCTTTTGTGTAAATACAATTCTGTTCCAGTCACACTTGCCATCTCAAGTCTTTTAACCTTGATTCCGTTTGTTAGTACTTGCACGTTAGGCAGAGTACTATTAATGCCATAAGCGGTGAATAAGTTTTGTAAGAGTAGTTACTTTTAGGTCGAAGTTAATACCAAGTCAAACTCTTACAAGTGGTGAGCCCGAGTTTTCACCGTTTGCCCACTTAGTAGCCTAAAGTGTAAATAGTCCTTTTTCATATTGGTAATTTGTTTTTCACTCGGAGTTATAAATTTTATTTGCCTTGTTTTTACTCATATTTTTGTTATCATATTTGTTGTTGTCATTCTATTTATATATCGTCTTGTTCGCGGGATGGCTGTAACCGTAACTCAGACGAAGGACTCCTCTACCGAAGGGTCGTCAAAATTAGATGTGGTGGCCTACATAGCTAAGCTTTATGAAGAGATAGATAAGTTAAAACAGGAGAGGACACCTAGAGGTCGTTCACATAGCCGCACCAGCTCTACTCGTGGCAGATCTTCTTCACGAGCTGGCAGCAGACGTCGTAGGC